CCCTTCTTCTTGAACATCCACCTACCCAAGAGACATCTTAGCAGTAACTGGCATGTCATGACTAGCCGCCCATATTCAGAATTACAAAGTGGTATTTATATCCTCTCTATATCTTCCCATTAGGAGCAGCTGACTGGCTTTCAGCAGTGGACCAAAAAGCTCCATGTTACTAATGAGAACATAGAAATGGTAAGTAAAAATAAGCATTTACCATATTTGTTTGCATATATTTGAAATTGTCATGTACCAATCATTTATTATGCTAATTTGAACAAGAAAAATATGTAGAAAATCAAAATGAATACAGTATTACCTTTTTTCTTTTATTTTACTTTGACGTGCCTGATAATACCTCTTGGAGATTTAACTAATGTGTATCTGAAATATATCCTAATCTGAAAGGTTTTTTTGAGTCCTTAGTAAGACCTTCAGAGAATAACCTATTCCTTGAAATGCTCAATAGCAGTGCAGATACTTTATTCTTTATTGTTTTAGTCACTTTTCTCTCCTTACTGAGACAAAATTCTCGACATCCAAAGTTAAAGTAGGAAGAGGGCTTTTTTAGCTCACACTTTGTAGAGATTTCAGTCCATAATCAGCTGGCTTGGAGGTAGGAGGGCATGACAGACAGACACTGAAGAGAAGAAGCAGCTCCTGGTGGGCAGAAGGCAGTGCCGGAAGCAAGAGAGAAGGCCAGTCTCCTTCTGTCCCTTCTGTCGTATGTAGGCCACTGGGCCTGGGCTGGTGCGAAAGTTGTCAGTGGACTGATTTAGTAATCACCCAGCTTAATCCTAGACCCTTAAATCCTAGATCCTTAAGGGTTGCACCATGAATTAGTCACATACTCTAGATTTGGCCATCTGTGAAAAAGCCCTGCCTATATAAACATAAGCCGTAACATTTATATTTAGCACATACCCAGGTACGTAAGAATAACATATATCTTTTGTCCAATTAATAAATTGGTTTATTTCCTAAAAAAAAATTAGGAAATGTAGAACCACATTCTTACTGTCAGTACTAATGTTGATACACCTAAATTTCCCAGAATTGTTCTTAAACAAATTTAATTAGCCATTTCAATTCTCTTAGCCCTTTGTCTTTTCATTTTTGCTTAGTTTTTTGAAATTTTACTTTGACTCTTGTTTAGTATTAGTATTATGACACCTCAAATAATCCTTCCTCTTTCCTTTATTCTAGATTAGCACTCTCCTAATTCGATTCTTTTTTTTTTTTTTTTTTTTTTTTTTT